TGTGCTCAATATGGACATTTTGAATTCTTGGTGATGCCCTTTGGACTTACAAATGCACCTACAACTTTCATGAACATGATGCATTAGATATTTAGGGTCTATCTTGATCAGTTTGTAATCGTCTTCATAGACGATATTCTCATTTATTCAAAGTCACATGAGGAGCATGTACAACTTCTTCATCAAGTGTTACAAACACTAAGAGAACATAAGTTGTATGCTAAGAAAAGTAAGTGTGGGTTCTAGATGAAGGAAGTCAGATTTGTTGGGCATGTAGTCCAAAGAAGGAGTGGAAGTGGATCTAGGTAAGGTTGAGGCTGCAATGAATTGGGATCGACCTAAGTATGCAAGGGAAGTTTGGAGTTTTCTGGGATTGGAAGGGTACTATTGAAGATTTGTGGAAAGATTTTCCAAAATAGCTATGCCCATGACCCGACTCACCCAGAAAGGAGAAAATTTTGAGTGGACCAAAGAAAGTGAACATGCTTTTAACATCTTAAAGGAAAAGTTGACTATGACACCTATTCTTACTATACCCGAAAGTGGTATTAGGTATGATGTTTATACAGATGCATCATTACAAGGACTTGGATGTGTGTTAATGTAAAATAACAAGGTGGTTGTTTATGGATCAAGACAACTAAAGGTTCATGAACGAAACTATTCCACACATGATTTGGAATTGACAAATGTTCTATTTACTCTAAAGTTATGGCATTGTTATCTATATGGGGGGAGAATTCCAGATTTACTTGGATCATAAAAGTCTCAACTATATATTCACTCAAAAAGACTTGAACCTCTGACAACGACGTTAGATAGAGTATCTTGAGGATTATGACCTCACACTGCAATACCATTTGGGAAAAGCTAATATGGTGGTTGATGTATTGAGTAAAAAATCTTGAAGTGTAGTAGTCAATATGATGAAGGACAAATGGTGATTGATGGAGGTACTAGAGGATTATGACATCTGGATAGGTGAGAAAAAAGGTCGCCACATCTGTTTAATCTCGTTGCTCAACCTACTCTCCGATAGAAAGTTGTTAAATTACAACATTCGAACTCCCACCTAGAATCCATCCGCACCCAGCTGGAGGATGCGAACATTCTTGAGAATTGGTGGTTACGAAAGGGGGAACTGTTATATCAAGAAAAGTTGTGTGTACCCGACAATGTTCAGTTGAAAAAAGAGATACTTAGTGAGTGTCATTACTCTAAATTGTCCATTTATCCTGGTAGTACAAAAATGTATCAGGACATAAAACGTCAATATTGGTGGAAAGGAATGAAGAATGACGTGGCTAATTTTATAGTGTGATGTACCATATGTCAGCAAGTAAAAGTAGAGCATCAGAAACCTGGTGGGTTATTACAATCCTTACCTATTCTAGAGTAAAAATGGGATCATATTACTATGAATTTTGTGATTGGATTACCGAGAACTTCAAAATGATACAATGTAGTATGGGTTGTAGTGGATCGACTCACCAAATCGGTTCATTTGATGAAATTTAATTGATTCGTGATAAAATCAGACCCAATAAAGGTGAACGTGTGGCGCAACATGGGCCAATTGTCTAAGGAGTATAAATAGGGGAGAAAATCATATTTTCTCCCCATTTGACCTTTAGATTTTTGCTGGAAAAGAAAGAGGGAATATGACAGGGAAAATCAAGGGATGCTTCAAGCTTCTCTCTACGATCTACGACTTCCCTTTGGTTGAATCACCTCTGGCCAAAAGCAAAGAGTGTTCTACTCAACGTGGGCTATAAAACTATACCAAAAATCAAAGGTTTTGACGAAGTTCAAAGGACAAGATTTTGGGAATCGAGGGTTAGAGCTTGATTTGGGTCTTTGAAGGTTTTCTACCACTTGTTTTACGTTTTAAAACGTAGGGTTCCTTTCCTAATTAGGTTTATTTTCAACCTAGAGTTTCATATGATATGAGTAGCATGACTTGAGATGAATTCTCATATTTGATGTACTCCTGGTGTAATTAGAGTATGGAAAATAGGTATAGAAACATGTTAAACTAATCTTGCATGAATTTTTTCTAGAATTTACTTGTTTAGTAAATTCATGAAAATGTGATAAATTGAGTATGATTGTGTGTTACATGATTGTATACCTAGAAAGTGTTTGATAAAATACCTATGTTAATGTAGCATGTTTGTTTGATTGAAAATGGGTTAAAATAAATTTAACATGAATTGGGAATTTAGAAATTACTTGTTTGTGATTTCTTGTGAAATATATTGATTGGACATACTAAGTGTTTACATTTTATGCCTTGAAGGTGTTTAATGAAATGCCTATATGGATTAAGTGTGTTATTTGCATTGATTATGTTATGACATACTTCAAATTTGATGTTATATATGTATTATGATATATTGACATTGAGGTTGTTGATGGTGATTACATGCTTATGATGTAATTGAGCATGAAAAAAAGGTTGATGAACATTTAAGTTGTTCATATTGTACTCATGATATATTGAATTTAATATTGAAAATACAATTATACATCACATTTGTATATGCACAAAAAATATCGCATTTTGTGGCATGTGACATGAGTGTGGGTGTGTGCATGTTTTTCGGATCAAAACACCATTCTTGGTGGATAATACGTAGGCTCTAAAAAGTTGGACCAATGTTCAACTGAGCCACACGACTTACATTGAAAATAGGGTCGGGGTTAGCAAAAAGAGTTAGATTATCTCTCAAATGCAAGATCCGGTGATTTTAGATACACACTCCGTTGGTATCGAGTCTATAAAGTGTGTCGACATATGCAGAGCTATTGGTGGAAATTCTTAAATGTCGTGTCAGTTGGGAGCCTGTTGATGGAAGTCCATAAAATACGTATCTCAATAAAGACCCGAGATTTAAAATGACCATTGAATGTGTAACATCAATGATAGAAGCTTAGAATGTTTGGATTCATGCGCATGGTATTGTATGTGTTATAGGAGGCGGTGAAAATTCGGGTTGAGTTGCATTGTGAGTCTCATCTCATATCATGGTATGACATAAAAAATTCCATTACTGAATTGCATATTCTTGAATGAAGTAATTGTTGCTTGTAAAATGCATGTGAACATTTCATATGCATTTCAATTGAAGAGTAACATCTTTAGGAGATACTCTATTTAACGTGATTCATCTTTTATGGAGACAATATTTCAGGTGTGAGACAAGCACCGGTGCATAGCTCTCACATGGGGCTCCCATTCATTAAGAAAAGGCGAGATGTTGCTTTAAATGATATTTTTGTAAAACTAAATTGTAATTTAGTTTTTGGTCATGCAATATTGTAAAGAGGGCCATAGAACAAACTCTTATGGACAATGATTGTATAAAATTGTATGTTACATGAGTTTGACTTGTTGTTATATGAGCATGCATAAATAGACCGATGTGGTCAATGTTACATGATCACATCGATTGCATTTTGGGTAAAACTCCCCGTATAAAAAAGATTGCTAAAATTTTGTTAAGTTCTAGATTCTGATAAATGCAGTATAACGACGTAGTATCGAGTTCTACGGCATCCACGGATATTTCGCTGATTTATGAATGATCAATGGGATAATTACAAACATGGTGTTACACTTTTTGTTATTCATCACTTGTCTGCACACTTCGATTATTACGCACAAGCCTTAAGCCCTTCAGCTTAAGCAATCCAATTTCAACTTCGAGTTCACAGATCATCAATTACAATCATTTAAAAAATAATTATAATTAATATATTTTTGGAATAAAACTCCTTTATAAATTGGGAATAATTTTTGCGATTTTAAACAACATATTTAAAGAAACTCCACAATATTAATAAGGGTATGCCGGGTCAGTTATATTTGGGCAAGTGATATTCTAAAGGGTGGCGCTTTTCCCACCCATTTAATCTTCATTTTCCACCCCTTTTAAGCATCCTACTTTAACTACTAATTTTACCCCATTTATACTCATCTCATTAGTTATTAAAATTACCTCATCTTTATTCACTAATTAAAAACTAAATTTATTTAATTCTATTTCAACGTATTATATAGATAATGATTAAAATTTCATTTTAGTGCATTATTTCAATATGACAATATTTCAGAAATAGAATAAAAATTAATAATTATTTTTAAAATGTTAGTCAAAATATAGTATAATATCTCAAAATATTTCAAAGACAATAGTAAAAATATCTCAATGTCTAGAAATAATATAAATCACCTCGAAACATTATAATTTCGCTTCCATTACTAATTTTGATTTCTTTAACATATATTTAATAGTTTAATTAAATGAATATAAATAAAATAAACTTAATAGCTAATGAGGGTGACTATAAATGGGATAAACTTAATAGTTTGAAGGAAGAAGATTAAATAGGGTTAAAAAAGAGAGATAAGGGATGAGAATAACCAAAGTTTTCAATGGGAAATTGTACTTTAATCTTATTTTTTCGTTTGGGTTTTCATCCGACCAGAAATTAGTGAAGAACATAGGTTCTCTGAATTCATCATTTAACAACTAATAACAATTGTCCAGTCAAGTGCTTGAATTGGTCCCCGTAAAATTCCACTTACAACCCCGCTCGAGAATGAAACTTGCACTAATCTACTCATGTATAAGCTACCAAAAAAAAAAAAAAAATAACAATAACAAAAACAAAAACAAAAAACCAATAACTAGAAAAATACATTAAAAGCACGTCGTGTTTGGCTGGGTTCCTGGTACGGGTCACAGGGTTACAAGACAACAGACAACAGAAGCTATGTACAGATCCTATTTATGAAACACAAGAGGCTTACAAAGTAAGGGTTTTCTCCTTTTCCTTTCCCACCATTTTTTTCTATTTATTTTCGGTTTTATACGCATGTTCACATCGTGTAGGACCAATAAAACTTTCCTATGACTGAAGGATTTTATCAATGTAATCCAACAGCCAAAACCAGGCTATTACCTAACCTGGTTGATCTGCCTGGGAAATGAGGTTCACTGGCGTTGATGACACATTTGGCAGATAGTAGCAGACTTGACATTGGCAAACGTGCAGTATTCGCAAGACCAGTGTCCGGGATCATCTATGTTTCTAGAACTGCTAGATTTGGATGCAGTTGCCTTACCTCTGCTGCCTCTGCCCTTACTGTTACCACCACCTAAGCTCTTTGAGCTAGCCATCCTGCTGCATGCACCATGGGAGTCAACATCTGACAGACCATTCTCTAAAGCTCGGACCAGATTCTCAAAATAATTCCGAGTCACACTGCAAGCATGGGCATTGCACAATATCAGATAAGACAAAAGTATTGATTTCCGAAGGCGGCAATCATAAGAAAAGAGAAGAAAGGAGAAACCAAGTCATATAAAGCTACAATAATACATCAGTGTTGATTCTAACATATGGTTAAATTTCAAACAATGGCACTACATACAGGAAGCTCACTAAACTAGTTCTTGATAAACCATGAAGAATTAAAATGCTAAATAAGTGAAGCACTCACGCAGGTAATATGTCAAGACACTATGGAAGTAATACAACAAATTACTTACTGAACTAAAGAAGTGATGCCAAGGCCATGAACTACACAGAACAGTTAATATATTCAGGACTCAGAACCATCCTAGAAAACTAAAACACCAATACAACTGATTTAAAGGATTCATGAAATGTGCAATTAACAAGAATACTCAATATATGTGGGATGGTTGCAGACAATCATTGTAATGGCCCCATTCATGATCAAAAGTTTAGATTAAAATCTCCAGGGAAGTCCCAAAGTTATCGACCTCTACTTTTCATGTTCCCATAAAGGCCAGGATGCCTGCATACAATTTTTTTGTCACATAATTCAATTATTTTTTCCATCATCAAATTTGGACTCTGATCATGATTCAACGACCAAAAGTGAGATCATGTGCCTAATTGAAAACCACTAACGGACGGCTGTTGAATATGAACTTCCATAATTGCTTTCTGAGATAGCATTATTTTGAGTTTACTAGTCCTCTCCTGCATAGCTGCATCATATCTTGCATCATGCAATGAGCAAAGAACATTTGTTTGACAGTTCTTGACAAATGAAAAGAAAAAAGTGCTATTAAAGTCGGTATGGAGATTTAAAACCAAATGTTTCGTTTTCTCCATCCTCTTTTCCCGAACCAATCTATAATTCCGCATACATGTGTCCCCTCGAGTGAGGGGCAGTTAACTGGGAGAGACTTGTGCTGACAAATGAAGAGAAAAAAGTGCTATTAAAGTCAGTATGGAGAGTTAAAACCAAAGGTTTCATTTTCTTCATCCTCTTTTCCCAAACCAAACTATAATTCCGCATACATGTGTCCCCTCGAGTGAGGCGCAGTTAACCGGGAGAGACTTGTGCTCTTACACATCCCTCTTTCCATCTACATTACCAAAATTAATAATTTTATTGTTTATAATTACTAATCGTTTGATTAAAGCTCAGTCTTTTGTTTAAGCAATTTTGATAACTATTGCATCAGAAATATAATTTTGATAACTGTTTCATATCCATATTATATGATGCTTATGCCTATATCAGACAAATAACACCATTCTGCTAAGATAGTTTGAGATTTGTTGACCGCTGAATCAGATTTAACTTTTGTAGAGGGAGTATCTTTCCAAATACATCAAATTCACGGTATTTAAAAACATAAATAGTTGAATATTGATCCCCATCATTTTAATGATTCACTAGATTTAAACACTAATCAAATAATGAGTAGCAAAGCAGGAATGATGGTTGCTCCGTCTTTAGGTAAGGGGAAAAGGCTTGTAAACAATGTACATGCAAGAGTAAAAACCTCTGGCACAATGTTCTTTCGCCCAATCAAACAGTGGAGACATAAATTTGGAACTCCAAATTAAAGAGAAAATTTTAATTGAGAATAACCTGGTCAGTCCAGCCAGCTTTGTGCGGAAGTCATTGAAGTCTCTTGATGCCCCCTCAGCGTTGAGGTACCCTTGCAGTTCCTTCTCTGCACATTGATGAAGTCGTTCCAAGCCAGACTCTGCCTCACCTGAAAAACAATGGCAACCATCAGTGAAACAGAGAAAAAAAAAAGAGAATAGATCTGCTTTTGCAAAGGAAATTATGGCATACCTTGTAAATACTCAAAGAACTGTCTCTTGGCTTGTTCATTCTCAGGCAAGTAAAATCCATAGGCATATGTCCATTTAAGCACCCGTCTACATTCAACTATCTGCAACACAGCAAATTGAACAGCAAAACTAATATGTACTTTCTTGAAAATGGGAGAGCATATGAAGTCACCTGTAGCCAAGCCTCTATTATGAACTTAAGCTGTGATTCAGGTTGGCACTGTCTATCACTCAGCTTCTCGAGCTGCAAAAATATAGACTACTTTCATGATTTTTTTAATTGGACTGGATGTAAAGCTGAATAGCTAAAAGGGCCAGGCTGCCCCAACCACCACCCCCCCCCCCCCCCCCAAAAAAAAAAAAAAAAAAAAAACAAACACACAATATACCAAAAAAAAAAAAGAGGCACCCAGAGCCAATCTCCTTACAGCTGATTTGCCTTTTTTTTGGCTGGGCGGTACAGACAATTAGCCAGCAACTAATAACAGATGTCACACTATAATAGACTTCTTTGGAAACCAGCTTGGTTCCATTGTGGATGATTAATAACTCAATGATCTACTAGCTAATAATTTACAAAGTTATTGACATATTCTGCAATTAAAATATAAATGTAAACAAGAATACAAGCACAAACAAAGATACCGTATGGACATAATACATTTTTTAGCAGCATAGATAAATAACATAAAGGAGAGTAGTGAACAGGCAGCTCAATGCACTAGGATCCGGCAACTGTCAAGTCTCGGGAGGATGTACAGTATTAATGAAAACAATCTTCCCATAGGAATGTCTTAGCCACTGAAAATTATCAACAAACAATAAGATTTGCTGCATCCACTACCTATTCGAACAAAAGCTGAGTCAATATTACTGAGGTGACTTCAAGGCATTTCTACAGCTTCTAATAGAAAAGTATTTCTGTTTTTCTACAATAAGCAAGCAAATTCTCAAAATATGTATAAACAAGGAATTCCTTTTCTACTGTCAAAAACTTTTGAGGAAATTTTGGTCAACAGAAAGCCCAAGGATACTGATCATTACATCGCTTAGATCATTAGTCCCCCTCCTACATTCATCCATCATTATTGTCCATTACATACCTTTTCGCCTATAGATTTTTTTATACTATGCAGACTAGTGCAGTGATTTCCTTGTAATCAGTTGCTTTTTTAAGGTAATAAAGCCTGAAATCCATTATCATTTGACTTTTTGAAAGAATATTTCTTTTAACCTATTAGACAATCATCTTAGATTACATGTGCTCAGAATCAGTAAACAATACAGATAGAATGGATGCTGTTCAGTGAAAGGTAAGGTGGGGGCGATGATGGCTGAGATGGATTATTTGGAGAGGAGATTTGTGGGACGAGTTAGGATGGACAGAGACGGGAATGGGTGGTGGGTGAGGAAAGGAGTGTTGAGAGAACGGGCTATATTTGTGTGTTTTGGAGAGAGAGAGAGAGAGAGCACTTGCTTACATAGCAATCATGATTTGATTAGACTCCTCAAACAAGTAGATCTATCTGTATATGCATCCATAGAGAAATACCCATGATTTTATTAGACTCCTCAAACTAGTAGATCTATCTGTATATGCATCCATAGAGAAATACCTAGTTGTTGATTTTTTTTCTATATTAGTTGGTGCACACATGCGTTCAACTTTTAAATTAGAATGCAAGCTAAAACCTCAAGTAAACACCATGAGTTATAGATCCTATACAACTAAGTAGCTACTATCCAGATAATATGCAACATATATGAAACTTCAAAGTTAAGAAGCAATTTAAATAAAGGTCTGAATTATTTGCAATCATCACAAAGATTAACAAATTCACCCTATCGCAAGGTCCAACTTTTTTTCCTTTCGGTTGTGGGAGCCTAACACAATTTGTTCAACTTTTGAAGGCATTCTTCAATATATATATAGACACACATACACAGATGAATACAACTAACCTTAAATCGTATGTTGCTATACATGAATTTTCTCTACTAACTTACTAATCCAAGGTAGGTCATCCACCTTTTACATCCATTACGAAATTAGAGGACTACTGTCGAGTGTTGGCCATCACCAATTCCTTCATAACATTACAACTAACCTAAGAGTCTATCATTAAAACAGATACCAAGAGCTCCAGACATAACTCCTTTACAATAACACTGATGTAGAATACTACAGTAAACAACAAAGAAACAATCTCCATGACATATCCAATGGAATTTAGCCAGCTTGCTGCCATCATTGGGTAGCAAAAATTTTTGGCAGGAAGGCTCCACTTACGTTGCAATTATCTATTTTACTGTTTAATTAATTCTCAGTGATAGCAACCCACATCTCGTTGTATTAACAATTTTCATTTGGGACAGGTACCATAATAATGTAGCTATTCAATATGGTTCTTTTTTCATTTCATTAACCATTAGTAGTATAAAAGAAGTCAAAATGAATGAAAAAAAGGTCATTTCTTGAAACCGGTGCATATCATCATTAGACCAAATATAAATCTCACTTGCTCACAGTAATTCAGTTGCGATATGTCTATAGGGTATCTAATGTCTAAAATTACTATTTACAAACGCGTAGCTTTAGTTATGGTTTCAAAGAAAAGTGGAGCAATGATCAATGATGGCTTTTACAATTGAGTTTGTATCATACCAAGGATATGTTTGAAAGCCAATCCAACTGAAGAATAGATACATTAATTTAGGCATTTGGGTGAGCTTCACATTGGGAAAAAAAGAAGGGGAAATTCTAGTGAGATGTATTATTAGGAGACACCACTCTAAGGTAAGATTACCATAATTTATATTAAACACCCCTAAATTAGCAAACTTGGTTTAAAAATCATAAAGAAAGTCTTTTGAATTATTTCTCAGTAAAAGGATGTAATAGACCTTTTGCAGTGCTTAAATTCCTTAAAATAAAAGGGAAGAAGAAAATGCAGTGGTGAAGGGCGAGAGTCCTAACAGAATCTTGTCCTATTCTTTTTCTAATGTTTGGTGTGGCTTGGGTACCAGATATAAAAAATAGATAGCTTAGAAAATCACCAATTTGGGTAATGTGTTAATACTCACATGCGTACACCTGCGTACTCTCACCACAATCCAAAACACAACTGCGGATTTGAATGCTCATAGCTTTATGGATATATATACACATAACCAAGTGGCTAGTGGCCTTGTAAACATGTTAGGTCTTTCATTGGCCCTATTACAGAAAGTGGAATGGAAAATGGTAAATTGGCAGGAAATTAAAAATATATATCTTTTCCATCTCCTGCCCTTCTTGCTGGCCCCTTCTAAAGTCAAATATGCATATTTTGTTGCTTCAGTGACAATAGTTAATAGATGAAAACCCATGACCAATCCATTCATACAACTTGACAAGAAAACATAATAAATTTCATTCTAACCAAAATACAACAAAAATGGACAAGAAATTTATGCCATCAAACATATAACTCTACATCTACAAATAATTCTCGATGTGAAAACACAGACACAAAGGGCTAATGAAACAGGGACACACCTTCAAATTCTTTAAAATAGAGAGAATAAAACAAAAATAGAGAGAAGACTGGAGGAAACCAAAATGGGTCCGAAGATATTTCTTTCCTCTCTAAAAGGTGTCGAAAATGATCTCCAATGCAAATTAATCTGCTATATTAAAACTTTTTACATGTTCAGTCATTTTGGGCCAAATCAATTACTGTAGTTGTAAGGTCATAATATAAAATTAATGGTTACAATTGTTGTAGGGTCTAGAACTTAAATGAGATACATAATTATGAATTAGGAAATTGGAGAGAGAAACAATTCAATTGACTTTTCAAGAATATGGGTAAAATAGGAAATCAAGGGCTTGTTTGGTTTGCATATCAAAAACCAGTATCTGAAAAAAATTTTAAATTGTAAAACCTATTTGGTTATATATTTTTGAAAATAGTTTTAAAGAACAGTTGTTTGGACAATAATTTATAAAATCAATTTTTAACTTATCATTTATGATAAAAAAAAAACTTTATCACACCAGGCAGTCACGTCCATCGGCTTCTCACCTAGCAACTGTCTCTCCATTATCCTTTCACATAACAAGTCTCTCTCTTCATTATCTCCTCACACAGCAACCATCTCTCTATTGCCTTCTCACCCAACAAAAACACACAACCACATATATATATATATACAGACACACATACATCACACAATACATATGTATATAAATATATACACACATAGATATATATGTACTCACACATACACCACACAATACATATGTATATATATATACACACACATGGATCTGTTGTGCAGAGACAGAGAGAGAGGAGAAGATGAACAGCTAGTGGAGACGATGAACAGCTGTTGGAGATGAACAGCCGTTTGTGTGTGTGCATGTGAGTGTGTTTTGTGGAGATGGAGAGAAAGGAAAAAAAAAAGAAGACGCTGGACAAAGTGGAGAGAGGGAGAGGAAAAAAAAAAAGGAGACGACGTTTTGCTGCTAAGAGGACTCGAAGGGCAGACCTCATTTAGCTTGTTTAGTTTGTCTCAGTGTTTTTAAAATTTTCAAAGAAAACTGTGAAAACAAGTTTTAGTTGTTTTCTATTTTTGTGTTCCAAATCTCATTTTTTTCGAAAATTTTAAGAACAAAAATACTAAACAAACAAGTTTTGGGTGTTTTTAAAATTGAGAACAAAAAACTGTTTTGCAGATGATAACCAAACAGGCCCCAAATGTTTTGAAGTAGCTGACATTTTATATTAGTATAGATAGACGAATTTTTGTATGTATGGGATGCTAGCTGAATACCAACTTGATGTTTTGGTTGGTAGTGATGGATTTGAGTAGTTGAGCTGCATTACTCAGAATCTAATGGGGGAGTGATCATAAATCACTCAAGGTGTTTCATAAATCACTTGAGGTGTTCCAAGAAGAGCAAAACAAATCAATGATGGAATTGAAATTCTAATAATTTGATGTGTTTCATAATGTTTTAAGATATTTTGTAATGTTTTAATGCATTTGCACAATTGTTTCGAAACGTTTCAAGATATTTCAAAATACTTCAGTATATTTCGACCAATATTTTTAAAAAATAATTTTTAATCTTTTAATGTTTTCATTTTGTTTTCGAAACATTTATAAAATACGTCAAAACATTTTAGTTTCCCAAGTGACCAAAGCAATGCATCGAAACAAAATTTTGATCATTGCTCACCACACAACGATAAGATGCATGGGATGATCATCCCTATGCGTCAAGTAGGCTATAAGCATCTTCTATAAGAAATTGGATGAAACTATTAGAATACTCACACAAAGCTTAAAAGGAGAGAGCACAAGTGGCATATGAGACGAAGAAGCAGCCAACAAAATTGAGGGTCAATGTTAAGAAGGTTGTCGAGAAGTTTCGCCCCAAGCTTGACAGTGTAGCTCCAATCAAGTATCAAAGTAGAAATACAGTTTCCATAGGTTACACTTTGTCGGAAATTCAAGTTCCAGTCAATTGTTTTTCCCTTTCATTTACGTTTTTTTCTTGGTGAGGTTTTTCTTTGCTTGTGATGATATTTCAGCAAATATATTTCCATTACATGGGTATGGGATGCTGCATTTTAGTCATCTAAATGAGGTGAAAAATCCACAAAAGATTCTTACATCATTGTGGACGAATGCAGGTAAAGAAGTTAGTCCAATATACAAAACTTAGGCTAGCAACTTGAAATACAAGAACACTAATAAGTCAAAGAATAGAGCTAGTTGAGACCATGATATAGAAGAAAAGTTAATAAAGTGTGTCTACAAGAAACTAATTGGGCAAGGGCTAAAGTGAGGGATGTAAAAAATTATAAGCTACAAACTTTTTTTAATTAGAAAAGATAAGACATAAAAATGGAGTAGGAATAATAGTAAATTCACATCTTAAACATGAGGTGGTAATCGTTCTTAAGAAAGGAGATAGAACATTAGTAATAAAACTTGTAACACGGTCAAGTATAATTAATATTATTAGTGTGTATGCACCTCAAATAGGGTTAGATGAACACATTAAAACTCAATTTGGGAGAATATGGACAATACCTATTGGAGAAAAATTATAGATAGGAGGAGACTTTAATAGCCATAGAGGAATAGATAGGGTTGGATATGAGAAAATGCATCGTGGAGATCAAGTTTTGAGATACGAATGACGATGAAGATTCTATCTTAGATTTTGCTATAGCCTAATGACCTTATGACGGCAAATACATAATTTTATAAAAATTATGAACATTTAATAACTTTTAAAAGTGGATTAAACAAAAGTCAAATAGATTTTTTCCAAACTAGACGAATGGATCATAGATCATGCAAGGACTGCAAAGTCATTCTAGAAGAGAGCTTTACCATACAACATAGGATAATGGTACTCGATGTATTTATTAAAAAAAAAAAAGACATAAGAAGTAGATTAAATATCCAAGAACCAAATGGTGGAATTTGAAAAATGAAAAGATAGAATTACTTATGAATAAAACACTAAAAGAAGTGAAAATTTTAGAGGATGAAATTGATGTAATGTGGAATACAATGGTAGAACATAATAATAACAAAAAAGCTTTTGAGGTTCTTAGAGAATCATTACATAATGGACCATTAGAAAGAAAAACATCTTGGTGGAATTTTTAGGGTAAATTGCAGTAAAAGAAAAAAGAGAGTACTATAAAACATGATAAAAAAACAAAGGACTTTAAAAATTACAATCTTGTAAATAAAGAAGTAAAAAAGCGAGTAAGAGAAGCTATGCACAAAACATAAGATGATCTTTACTCTAATCTACTGATGGAGAGAAAAGTACATATAAACTTCCTAAATTAAGAGAAAAAAACTAGAGATTTTAATCATATAATAGTGAAGAATCTAGGGTTTTAGTACAAAACGAAAAAATTAAAGGAAGGTGAAAGAATTACTTTGAAAAGTTAAATGAAAATCATATAGAGAGCTTAGACATTGAGGAATATATAAATCATAGAGAGATTAGAGAAAACACATTGTTTCATAGAATTCGGATATCGGAGGTAAATGATTCATTAAAAAAAATGAATACATGGAAAGCTTTATAGCCTGATGGTATACCTATTGATGTTTGGAAGTGTCTAGTGGATGTTGGGGGTATCATGGTTAACTAGATTATTTAACCAAATTATAATGACTAAGGAAATGGCCAATGAGTGCAGGAAGACTATTTTAATACCTATATATA